CTTTAGTAAAGATACAATGGGGACATCGGAAGGGATCCGAATGGACATGGGAGCTGGAGGCGGAGATACACGAGCATTACCCAACATTGTTTATTCCAGCGGACTTCGAGGGCGAAGTCTAGTTCAAGTGGGGGAGAGTTGTAACTCCCCGATTCTCAGGTATTGTTAATATGATTTTTCGGATTAGGCCATACTCGATGAGTTGGTTTACTTACTCGTCGAGTAGCAGTGAGAAGGATCGCGAGTTAAGTGACCTACTCGACAAGTCCATAATGGGACTCGGTGAGTAGGAGCTGGCAAGTGAAACCCTAATTCCTAAGGTTTGCACCCTTATTTAAAGGGACCTTAGCCTCCCTTGGACCTCCTTACAGTTCCAAAGAACCATTGAGAGCCTCATTCGTGTGTGTGTGCCTTGTGTGTGTGTGTATGTGTGTGTTTAAAGCTTGAAAGAGAGTTCTTGGAGGGAGAAGACTTGGAGGAGGAGGAGATTGAGGAAATTGGAGTGTGGGAATCAACACTCATATCAGTCATCAACTTCAAAAGGTACCCAATTCGTCATTCTCCTTATAGATCTCCCTTCTTCGGTGAGTTTTAGGGTTTTCATGGAATATCAAGTTGGTATGTTGAGCTATGGACTAGATCTGAAGTTGTAACTTCAGATCTGGACTCTCTTTAAATTCTAGAAGGATAAAGTTGCAGCTTTAGTCATGATTGAGGTCGTCTTTCTGCATAAAGACCCATCAATAGCTTAGATTTTCCATTTTGAGCCTTTAAAGCCATGCATATAGGTAAAGTTTGAAACTTTACGTGATAAGCATGACCTAGAAGCATGGATCTGTAATTTGGAGCCGCTGCATGGCTTAAAATGGATCTGTATGGAAAGAGGACTGAATGGACTCGGTGAGTCGCATGAAGATGGCCATTGAACTCGACGAGTTGTTTGAACAACTCGGCGATTCCGATGAAGATTGTCACGAGACTCGCCGAGTTGAAGAACAACACGGCGAGTCGGATGAGTTTTAACCAAGAATAATGTTCGCGAGTATATTCGTCGAGTCCCTGAGAGGGAACACGACAGGTGGCCTTAAGGCCTGATCAGGATTCGAAGGAACTCAAGGAGTCACCTCGATGACTCGGTGAGTAGCTGGGTGTACTCGGCGAGTTGAGGTCAACATGGACTGTTTACCTTGAATGAGGACTTGGACCTTGATTAGGGGTTGACTATTAGGTTATGGAGTACCTTATAAGTTTGAAGACTTGTGCGTATATTGAACTATGGTTATAGGTGGTGGGGTCGGTGTCGAGTGATCTAAGAGTTGGAGTTTACCTTCCGAGTCGACATCTACGAGGTGAGTTATCCTCACTATATCGATAGGGTCTACGGCACCAAGGCTGACCCTTTAGTTGTTATTGTTATGGTATGTTGCATATGGTTTTGAATTGTTAGTACGGAATCGAGGTAGACAGTATGTTATGCTTTTATGATCCGTAGTGATTGGTGTGTTAGTGACCAGCTAGGTTGGTGCTCTAGTTACAGGAGAATTTTGTTATTGTGATTAGTGAGATAGATATGTTTGATGTTTGAATATGCCAGTATATGATTGCTATGCGCACATGGTTATTTGCTTGTTGGTTGGGTTGAGGCGGTCCTACTTCGTGCTGAAGGCCATCATACCCTATGAGCGGTCCGAGGAGACTGTAGGCCCATGTGGCGGACCAGTCATGTCGAAGGCTTGGGATAGATCCAGACAGACTATAGGCCCCGTAGGGCGGTCCAGTGAGGCCGATGGCCAAGTATGCATGTTGATTGATTGATTGATTATTACTGTTATGGTATTGTCAGTGTGGTGTTGGTATTTTGGGGTAGCTCACTAAGCCCTCAGGCTTACAGTTTTCAGTTTACTATTTCAGGTGCTTTAGGGGATCGTGGAAAGGTGAAGGCGTGACCGTATCGCTCCTCATCATTTTGTTATGATTTTTGGGACACTCTGATGGAAAATGATTTGAAAACATTTTGTAAACAATGCTATGTGGTTTTTAATTATGATTGAAAAAGTTATAAGTTTTTGTGTGAATTTTATGAATGTTATAACATCTATGTGACTCGCCGAGTCCCCATTGTTCCTCAAAACATCGCAGAAACCCAAGTTAACTCGTCGTGTTGTCTCATTAACTCGTCGAGTTACCCATGTCCAGACTTATCGGGGAAAACCCTAGCCGACTCATCAAGTCAGCTCATTGATTCGGCGAGTTGATTCAGTCTGTATACTCATTTACACATTTTAAGGCAGATCCACCACTCCAAACTCTATATCTAGTCTCCTAAGGCTCGAATGTCACGTAAGCTTCAATCTTTACATTAATGCATGACATACTTTCTCCATAATGCCAATACAAGCTCCAGTAAGGGTTAGATGCACAAGATCTTGTCTCTAGCTCAACAAAGTTTGGGTCTTTGGACTCATAAGACCTCCTACAATCCAGATCTAAGGTTTCCACCTCAAATCATGCTCAAAGGACTCAATGACACTAAAAGGATGGGAGAAAACCCTAGAAACTCCCTAAACCAAGATCTCATAAGGAAATGATCAAGTTAGCATCTTTTTACCTCCAACTGAAGCAAAACCCTAAAGAACCTCTAGATCCAAAGCCTCCTCTTGATCCAAGCTTTGATGCTCTCCACTTATCCTTCAAAATTGCACTAATAATCACAAGATTAGCTTGTCTCTCACTCTCTAGCTTAAGTGGATGATTAGGATTTCTCTCAAGGAAGTAAGGTGGCTGGTGAGGCGGAAATGAGGGTTAAAGTCCCCCTTAAATAGGTCACAAACCCGGGGATTTAGGGTTTCCTCACACAACGCCAACTCAAAGAGTCAGCTCTCTGACTCGTTGAGTTGGTTATTAAACCCACATGACCAGTCCGACCCTACTCGACAAGTCGGTCACACAACTTGTTGAGTTACTAATTAAATCAAAAAATAAATATATAAATGTAATGTAACACCCATAAAATTCAAGCCAATTAAAAACTTTTTAAAACCTTTAAGTTATTATAATTTGTTTTCAAAATAGTTTAAGCATCAGTGTATCCCAAGAATATCAAATCATGAAAATATAAGGAGGTGCACGATCACGCCTTCGCCTTCCACGATCATCAAAAGTACCTGAAACAAAATCAACAACTGTAAGCCAAAAGCTTAGTGAGTTTCCCCAAAATACCAACGAAATACAGATATAACCATATCATATAAACAAATAAGCAAACAACATGCATATAGAGTCTACAGTAAGACTGAATTGCCCCTAACGAGCCTGTAGTCTCATTGGCCCAGTCTCAAAACCTTCAGCATGTCTGGTTCGCCTACCCGAGCCTTCAGCCTATCTGGACCGTTCTCCGGGCCTTCGGCCTGACTATTATGCCCCTAGGGCCTGCAGTGTATCCGGTCTGCCCTGGGTCTGTTGACCTTCAGCACAAAGCAGGACCGCCTCAACCCAACCAAGCATAATATGTCGACATATAAACAATCATGATCAAGTAGGAACATAATACATGTAACAACAATCATATAGCTCAGTACTTCCTACTAATCCTCAAACCACATATAGTCCCACTATCAGCTAACCCCCATAGAATGCGTAACCATAAGTAAGCAGAGGTGAGATAACCCCCCAAACAAATAGTCCTACTCTAGAGCCATAACCAAACAAGGAACATGCAAGAGAGCCTAGACCAAGAGTTCTCAAGCTATCCTACATGATCACCGACAGTCCTTAAAGGCACTCCATTGATGATAACCAACAAGCACATATAACATACAGATCTATAGAACACTAACATAGTAACCATCCTATAACCAGGATACTGATGTAACCGATTTCTAACACATCAACCATACTATAACCATGATACATATCATAAAGCATAACGTGCAATGAACCCGGATATAATCCGAAAAGGGTCGGCGTTGGTACCTTCGACCTTGTTAGTATAGTCAGGACAAATTACATGGCACTTCTGAAGTCCCGTAGATAAAACTCCAACTGCTTGTTGACAGATTCCCAAACTGTCAGCATCAAATAATACCCAATTAATAGTTGGATTCCAAGCCTAAGGTCTAACTCACACTCCAAAGGTCCAATAGTCAAGTAATGGGCCAAAACCCAATATATGGCCCAATTTTCCAAATTGGGCCCAAACCTCTACATGGTCTTTCCTCAAGGCCCATCCAATTATTCTAGTGCAAACTCTTGGTATTCCCATGGCCCAATATCACATAACCATCAAGGCCCGGTTATGGCCCACCTATGGCCTAATTTTCCAAATTGGGCCAAAGTTCTTCACATGGGCCTTATCCCAAAGCCCATCTAATTGTTTTGGTCCATTTATTTGTTCTTGGATAGCCCATCAATAATCCAATCACCAAGTCCAACCGGAGGGCCCAACTCAAGGCCCAATTGAAATTACGGTTTTCACATGAAATGATGATTAGGATTAAGTGTTCCTACTTAACCCATTAAATACTTAATCCATTAAGTCCAATATTGACTTAGGTTAATTGCAATCGAGTATTAATTAATATTTTAAGTTTAATAAATAATTCCAGTGCGGGTCCCGATCAAATCCCCTAAATTAGGGTTTCATGACATTAGGGTTTTCCAAACCCTAATTAGGGTTTCCAACCCAACACTAGTCTATTAGTCACTTGGTTGGGCTTTTAGGTCAAATTAGGCTTCATTAGGCCCATTATGGTTTTATTAGGCCCTCTAGAGTTTTATTAGGCCCACTAACGTTTTATTAGGCCTATTTTGTCCAAGCATCCCAAACGAGTCCAAACGCAAACAACGCACACCACCACCCAACACGGCGACTGGTGGCGGCAAGAGGCGGTAGTCACCACCTCATGGTGGTGGTTATGAGTTTCTTTTCATTATTCCTTTACTAATTACAACATACAACTCAAAAAAGACCAATTAAACACTCACACACACACACAACCGCTCTATGGCGGTAGGTAGTGGTCGGAGGAGCTAGCCACCACCTCACAGTGGTGGTGGTGGCGGCTCACTTTTGATTCCAGATTACACAAACCACAGATAACACACCCTAACGATGGAAACACACCCAAAAACACTTCTGTTTGTGAAATATACCCAGTCACAAACCTAGTGGCGTACGGCGGTGGTGGCAGTGGCTGAGTTAGGTGGCAACAACATTGGTTAACAATAGTAGCTTCATTATCGGCAACAGCCACCATGGTCGGCTACCATGGTGGTTCTTCACGCCTTTCATTTGACAGAACTCACTTCGACATGCAATCACATAACAAACCACGGACCTGACCACCATGTCATGCGGCATGCAGTGGATGTAGTGTGTCAGTGATGTTGAGAGACCTCTAGATAGCTGCGGTAACGTAGTCATATGGAGAGAAGTGAGGAGAGGAGGAGGTTCATCATCATCAGTAGCAATGGGAGCAATGGAAGCATAATCTTCGTGATTTTCGGCTTCAACAGTGAAGGGGCGGTGGTCCGGTGACTTCGCTGCAATAGAAGAATGGGGAGAAGAAGGGGATTATGGCCCCAACTTTGCGAATAATGGCGATGGAAACCGCAACTATGCTTCTTCTGACTAACTTCACAGTCATGATTTCGGCTCAACTCGTTCCTTCATCGACAATGACCTCAAAGGCTTTGATGGTCCACCAAGGTGTCAAGAGGTTGGCGGCTACCGGAAGTGAAGAATGAGGGTGGCGGCTGCCTCTCTTTATAGGGTTAAGGTTTAGAACTGGGGGTGATGGGTTTATATACCCCGATCCTTCATAACTTGTTTCCATAATAACTGAAATGGTCCCTCCAAACCCCATTTCTTTCAAAATAAATCCTTAATTTACCATTTAAACCCCTCCTTCTGAAAATCCTTACAAATCAAGTCTAAAATATTCACCAACCAGCCCCTAATTCCATAAATCCTTACATATTAAGTCCAAATGATACCAAATACCCCCTGACTTCTAAAATCCTTTGCAGAAAAATCCCGAAATTGCAATTTAACCCCCGGAGATTCGAATCTTGTCATTTGGCTTCCCGAAACCAACACCCCGCTAATTATTATTTGATTTCGGACTATAATAATTTAAAATAATAATAATAATAATAATAATAATAATTACTTCTCGGGGTTATGGGTTTATTATTTAATTATTCTATTTTAAACGGGATGTTACTGTTGGATAAGGTGTCTAAGTCCATAACTATATTTCGTATGTACTCGACCCGATTTGGCATGGTCCATTTAGGTTGCGTGGCATCAGAACAATTTGGATAGACTTTTGTGAGGAGCCGGTAGCGTTTGACCCAGAAGCAACATTGTTAGAAGACATCTGAAAAGAAGAAAGAAAAGTTTAGATTAGATATGGAATCCTTAATAAGACACCAAAATGTAATATTAAGGCTAGGACCCAACACAATACTTTATAACTTGGAAGAGGGATGCCGTAATCTAAGCTATAAAATATTTGAAGGTAGGTGAATGATAATTCCCCAATTTCCACCATGAAAAATGAAATAAATTATTATGTTTTAGTTGGATTGAAACTCCTAGATCTTTTAAGATTCATTGAAATTTTTAATGGCATATTTAAATCTCGATTGTTCGCTCTCAAGTTTGTGATTGGGATGCTGAGGATCACAAACAAGGTGTGAATAATGATGCAAATTAACTTGGTACCCTTAATCTTTATCACCTAATTGATGTGTCGGTTACCCACACGTGCTCCACCGATCTATGATAAACATTAAATCACCCGTTGCCACTCTTACTAGTCCATGTTAGTGTGCTGATTACCCACACATTGTTTGGTTTGGATCTGGATCTTTTACTAGTAATCAAGCAATCACCAATCAAGAATGATAATAAGATGAATAAGAATTGAGCTTGCACACGTTTATATCAAATAACCTTCTGGTACAACTCAAACACTAACCGTAAACTGACCGGCATCAATCATACAAAAGACCAACTCCTAGCCCTTATATACTCGTCTAGACAGTAAACTGAGTTTGCGGCCGTAAACACGTTTACGGTTGTAAATGTGTTTACGATCGTGAACTCGACAAAACAAAAAACGACTCTAAATAGCTCAAAAGTACTATTACAGACTCATAAACAAACAAATCACATAGAAAGACTAGCCCAAACCATTTATCAGACCCTTGAATCTCCCCTTTGGTTTGGGGCTAGCATGAATTCAGTCCTTGTCGATGACCAACACATCAAATTTCCCCATTGCTCCATTCCATATCCTCTTGTCAACAATTGTAGCCACCATCCGTGTGTATTCTTTTGCGGCAGGCTCAAACAACTCATCAGCAACCACAATCTGATGATTTGCAAGTTGATGTATGTCCTGCTCACCAAACTAAAGTAAATCCCTTTTGTCGTACAAGCGAATACAGTCTTCTTTAAGCTTGATGACAACAGCATCAGATGATTCATCGTGCACCCAATATTGCATGAACTGTAGAGACCCATCTGGACAATTCTGAGGAATAGGGATATGCTTAACTTGAGCAGTAGCAGGCCACATTACTGCTCGAGTAGGCTCACTAGTCTTTGGATCAATAACACTTTTATGGACTGCAACAAAAGACTCAACAGTTTTCATAGATGGTAAACCCTTAGCCACTTGATCTTCCAAGAAAAACTTGAATTGACTAGCTTTTGGATTTCCTAATGGATTTGAGAAGGGGGCCTTGGATAGCTCAATAAGGTCAACCTTACTGAAAGAGTGAAAATCATGAGCATCCTTGTAAAATTCTTTGTTCCCGCTTTTCCTTCTTACCAAGAACATATTATGAATGTCATGAAATCCCCACGAAACAATTCCTGATCTATCTCCATAGGTATCCTTGAAATTTTGAGTGCTAAGATCGGTGAGAGTAATTCGTGGCTGATCCCAGGGTGCCCTATGATCTATGCTTCTTTTGAAAAGCCATTTGCTAACAGCCTTCTTTTTCTTCTTTTTGGAACTCTTTGAAGCACCTGACCTTAGAGCTTGTTTAGGTTCATTTTCAAACCGATCCATAATGATGGTAGATCTGATCGTTTAAGAGAAGTAGCATGAGCATCACCACTAGGAGCATCTAGAATGGGAGGATCGACATGTGGTTCTTCAACAGTTGACTTAACTTCATCACCGAATTTGTTTTCAAGTTTCTTTTGTAACTCCAGGAAGTTGGCAGCCAAATGACCATACTGTGTCTGAAGGTCAGCAATTTGCTTTGTCTTTAGAGCATTGTCTTCATTAACCTTAGCCACATGAATACTGAGCTCTGTATTTTTAGATTGAAGGTCTGTGACCTTGATGACTAGCTCTATATTCCTTTGATCAAGTTCAACATTCTTCCAATTAAGAACGTCAATCTGACTTTGGAGTCCATGGAGTGAAGGGGCATCTTCTCTTGAGTCATCACCTCCAATGAAAATTCCTTTGCCACGAGATGGTGGGGTAGATAATTGTTCTTCTGCCAATAGCCTGACTAGCTTAGTTGAGGCATCATCATGATATGGCCTGGGAGGAGAGAATTCTGGTTGAAATGAGGAACCACCAGCCTCAAACATAGAGCTGGGACCATCACTTATAGGTTCAATAAAGACTATAACAGGCGTGATTATCGGTGGAGCTATAGCACTTTGAGTCATCGTACTCTGAGTTGCTAGTCTCAGAACGATTATGCGTTGCTTGTTTGGATGAGGAGTGGCTTGTGTGTCGGTGAGATCATCTTCCATTGGCATAGATGTAGGTAAATCAGTATCAAGGGGAGGAATCCCTAATATTGTCACCATAGGAGTTTCTATTGCCGTCTTTGGATTTAAAACATGAGGTGCAGCTACGAAAATGTCTTCTTCTTCCCTTGTCTCAGTTGTCACATGAACAACTTCATTGACATTGTCGAGAAAGTTGTCGAGGTTTACTCCGATCAGAAAATCATCATTGCTACCAAAATTCAATGGGATATCATCCTTATCATATCCCGTGAGGTCAACATCCTCATACCATTTATCATCGTTTCCTGTTCCCTCGTAATTACTCTGTACTTGAACATATTGTAATTCGTGTTCGCCATTGACTTGAGCTTTTGGATATGGAGTCTCATTGTCATCGTGATCTGAGACAGTAATGATGAATTCAGAAGACACTCTTTCTGATGAAGTCGGCTCAGATAGAGTTTTCTCAAAAGTTCCATGAGATTCAGAAGACTCATTAATTTCTACAAACTGTCCGAACTTCACCAGAGGATGCAGACCTTGAAACAAAACCTTGCCCTTTCGATTTTATTTGATGAGGCCAACGGTGTGAGGGCCCATGTATTTTTGTCCATCTTATCACTATCTTTGACCATTTCGGGGAATTGATCATTAATAAAAGCTTGAATAAATCTGGGATACATAAAAAACGCATCTCTATTTCCCCGAGTCATGGCGCCAATGTTTACCAGGAATTCATCAAAGACATACTTCGAGAAATTGATGTTGCTGCCGGTGGCCAAGGAAACGATTGCTCATGTATTTCTAATAGAGATCTCATCTGCTCCTGATCTCCTTCCTGACATGCAACTGCTGAACACATGAGCCAAGAAACGCCAGTAGGGAGGCAAAAGCTTCTTCACAGTTGGAGGATAAGAACCCTCGTATCCCATCCTATCAAGGATTCGTGGTATTTCTTTAGCTTCAGCTTCAGTGGGAAAATCAGGTTCATCAATGATCAACAAGGTGTCTCTGATATACTGCTCTGAAATTCTGATCTTGCAATTTTTCACCACTCCGTAAATAACCAGTTCTTTATTTATCTCTATCACCTTGGCTGATCTCCAAAATACTTGAATAAGATTTTGATAGATAACAGGATTCACCGTGATAGCATGAGCCAGGCAGCATTCTCGTAGTAGGTACATCATTGACATAAAGTCTTTGTGGGCCACCGGTGGATAGTCCAATATGATGGCAAGGTTATGCATCTCAGCAGTTTTAAGATACACCATTTATCTGCATTAAACGAGTCAAGTAAGAAAACAAAGTATTTAAAAATAAAAGGCTCAAAGTTTTCTTAATTTTACAAATTAATATTGGCTAAATAAGAGCTCTAATAATAAATTAGCAAGAGTTTACGGTCAAACAAGGTCAAAGACAGTTTACGGTCAAACTTGGTCAACCGGCCGAAAACAGGGTTTACAGCCGTAAGGCCAAACCGAGTTTACGGTCGTAAGGCCAAAGGCCGTTTACGCTCGTAAGGTCACAAGAGGAGTTTACGGTCCATGAATTTACAGTTCATGAATATCCCGAAACCGTAAACTCTGATGTACTATAAACTCAAATTACTCCTTCGATTTGCAGTCGATTCGAACAACAAAATACAGTTTCAGGGTCGGATTTGACTTATCTTCAACGTGGACTGATTGATTTCAAGAAAACTAACACGCGATTTTCGAGAATTTGAGAGAGGGGAGGCAGCTTACGGTCGAACAATGAGAGGAGGCGGTAAAAAGAGTTTACCGGAGTAAACTCTACATTATATACTACTTGACATTTTGACTTCCCTTACACAATTAAATTATCAGTCCAATTCCCAAATAGAATTTCAAAAATAAAAACCTTTTGAGGATTATTAAAGTAAAAGTAAAAATAAAAATAAAAATTATCCTAATTTCAAAAATTTTAAAAAAATTGACATTTAAGAATAATAAAAAATCAAAATCAAAATCAAAATCAAAATCAAAATAAAAATAAAGATAACCTAAAAAATAAACTAAGAGAAATTTTAACAATTTAATACGCGTAAGTAAGATTTGACTTCATCTTGTGATA